CAGATTTCTCAGATCCCAGAGTTCAACTTCCTTAATAGCTACTGTGACATTCTGCTGGGAGCTTAAAACACAACTACGTAAGTGATTTAAGGAGGGTCACAAATATGTAGTTTAGTACAAATCTTTATTATTTTGTTTGCTCTCTCTTCACTGTGAGAAATAAAATGCAAGCTCTCTCAGAATCTCTCACATCCATTCCTTCTTTTCTTTTTCCACTGCTACCATACCTAAAATACGTGGTTAACAAGCCCTAAATTATTATTACAACTGCCATCTAATCATTTCCCTGTGACTCACCTTTGCTTTGTATAATTCATCTTCCACATCATCTCCCTACTAGGCTCCATTTATCACTGTTACCCCATGCTTCAACTGTGCCAGGCAATGGGAATATAAAAATCTTGGAGTAGTTCCCACTATGGTAGGGAATACAGTATGATGTGCTATAGTAGAGATGCATACACAGTACAATTATGGCATAAGGGAGTGAGTAGCTAGTGATCCATTGGATATACTGATCTGGAGATAGCAAAAAAGGTCTCACTGGTGACCCTCAAATATGAAGAAAAAGTCATGTAATCCATGGTGATTTCCAGAGAGAATATTCTGTCAGACATAGAACTGAATCTAAAATCTGGAGATAAAATTTAAGGGGTAAATATAAGAAGAGGAGTCACTTTAGTATATGAAAAGTACATCTGAGGATATGAAAGAAAAGGAAAGAGAGGAGCCAGAAGTCCAGGGAGTTGTGAAATCCAAGGAGGAGAGGATGTGCAATTGCATCAAATGCTACAGCTGAAGACTGAGGAGCTACTACTGGATTTTTCAGACAGGAGATGAGTTGCAGAGAAATGATGGAGCAATAGACAAGAATTAAATCACAGAATATATACTAGGTGAAGAGGAGCTTGGCTCATAGGGGAGGATGTAGGAGGAAAAAAGAGAAGAAAAGGAGTACCTATAAATATTTGCAGTTGTGAGGCTGCAAAGTTCCTGTCAATTGTCCATTTTCTCTATGAAGAGGAATGCAAGGATGTTTGCTAAGAGATAGGGGTAAGGGTTGGGCAGCGTTTGGGGAGAAGAGTGAAATTCTTGAATAGCCTCCTTGGACTATGGGAAAAGGTCCAGGAAGGCCAAAAAATACTGTAGATCAGTGCTGGAGGTTCAATTAAACATAGTGAAATGGGTTCTGGCTTATATGTTTCTTAAGCTTCTCGATGGCATAGATGAAATACCTGAAGATATTATCAATATTGCCTTGTTTACATGTTAATTCAAACCCAATTAGTAACTTAATATTCAGAATACCTTGTTTTTTTTGTTTTTTCTTTTTTAAAGATTTTTATTTATTTATTGAGAGAGATAGTGATAGAGAGCATGAGAGGGGGAGAGTCAGAGGGAGAAGCAGACTCCCCGCCGAGCAGGGAGCCCGATGCGGGACTCGATCCCGGGACTCCAGGATCATGACCTGAGCCGAAGGCAGTCCCTTAAACAACTGAGCCACCCAGGCGCCCCAGAATACCTTGTTATCAGGAAAAAAATTCCTCGACTGTCAGAAAAGGGGATTCTGGTCCTGGAAATGGCACTTATTCCATTGTGAATGAACAATTTGCATCTTGGGAAGGGTTATAATATAGAGTAATCAGCAGAATATAGCAGAATGAGCATTGAAGTCTGACATATGTGGAAATAAATCTTACCATCTGTCTGTCTGTCAGTAAATTACTCACCACTCCCCACCTGTATGACCTTAGGTAAATTACTCATCTTCTCTGGAGCTCAGCTTCTTATTTTAAGATTGTTGAGGGTAAATGAAATAACATATATACAGATTAGTGCTCAGTAAATACTACTGTCTTCTCCATTCCGCACTCGCATTCATTCCATGAGATGGGCCATCATTTGCCAGCTCTAAGAGACTGACACGAAGTGGGTACTTGGACAAAATCAAATATTTGGACTTCAGAGGAGAAAACCAGATCCTGGGCTGGGGTGAACCACCAAGGTACAGCCAACTTGCAAGTCTCTATCAAGTCAGCCTCCTTTAAATCTTTATTTCTATTCTGTTTCTATTTCTATTCTTATTTTATTTATTTTTTCATCTTCAAGCCATTCTTAAAGACTTTAGTCTATTATTTTATTCCCTTTATTATAGATAAAAAGCTCACTCCAGCACTTTCTCATAAGGAATCTCAAACTGAGATCACTGTTTCATTTTGTGTCTTGTCTTTCCTGTTAAACTGTAAATTGACAGGGGAGTATAAGGGTGTGAAAGAGGGAGTGTCTCCTCCGAATCTGGGACAGTACTCCTTGCTAGATGATCAAGGTCATAATCAAAAGAAATGGAAAGTGCCTGTGGAAAAAATTTTGAATGATGAGAGAATTTTAAAATTAGCTTTAAATACCAAGGAAGAGAAATAAAGAACAAGCGAGGACCTAGAAAAACCAAAAGACCAAAAAGATGTCTTGAGCGCTTCAGGCTATGTGTTATTCATCTTTAGCCTAGTGCCTGGTGTGAGTACATGGGAGAAGGAAAGGGAATAACACATGCTAAATATGTGCTCTGTGTCAGATCTGCACAATACATCTTAACATATATTCTTTCATTTACTCCTCCCAATGAGCCATTAGATAGGCAATAATATTGCCTTTTTCACATGAATTTGAAGTTGAGAAATCAAATAATCTTCTTGTATTCTTAGATATTCAGTTGCAGAGCTTGTATTTGAACCCAGGCCTGCAAACTTTGAAGTTCATAAGGTTTCTATGGTATTATTTTGCCTATTCCAAATGTATACTGAGCTGAAAACTTAGAAACAGATCTCTATTCATATAATCAACCATTGCTCAGCAATGGTGGTGATATTCCATGAGACAGTGCATGTAATTAAAATCTAGTTTATATTTTAAATGGAGGCAGAAGATGTAGATGTAGGTGAATCCTAAAATCATCACCTGTATTTGTTCCTGTTTTTGTTTTGTCTTTACCACTGAACAAAGAAACATGTCTAGCAGAGAAGAGCTGTCTTGCTTTCTGAGATGGAGATGACAATATGAAGGTGCATTCAGCAGAAATCTGGGTTGGGTTTTTTCCTCTAAATACATGGGGATTGAGGAAAGTTCAATATAGATGGAAAAGGGGAGAGATTAAAAAGATAGGGAGATATTAACAATTCTTACCAGACAACTTCCAAAGAGAAAATGTGTCCCGTGCCTACATTCATGGCAAAGAACTACTAAGAAATACCTCTTATTGAAAAATATGGTTATTTCTGGCTTTAAAAGTGATGAAAATGAGTATAATTGTTCTACACACCCTTCATATGTAATCAAGATTAAAACACCCCTTCTTGTTGGTCTTCAGATTACTTTAATTGTATTTCTTCCATTGGGATGCCTGTCCTATTAAAGTATGTGCAAGACACTATGGCAGCACCATGGAAGGAGCAATTGATTATGGGAAGACAGAAGGAGATGTAGGCAAGATTTCACTGTAAAGATGAAATGAGATGAATCCTGAAGGGTAAGAAAAAATTATCCAGAAGGTCACAGGCAAAAACAAAGATCTCATACTATTAGATTTTAAGCTGAAGCACCTAATTTCTTTTCCTTCCTTCCTTCCTTCCTTCCTTCCTTCCTTCCTTCCTTCCTTCCTTCCTTCCTTCCTTCCTTCCTTCCTTCCCTCCCTCCCTCCCTCCCTCCCTTCCTCCCTCCTTCCTCCCTCCCTCCCTTCCTTCCTCTTCATCTCTTTCTCTCTCTCTCTCTCTCCATCGATCTGTCATCTATCATTTGCTTAAGCTCTAAGATATCCACCACAGTCAGCTACAGAAAGCAGTGGTGTAGTGGTTAAATGACATGGCTCTAGATCAAGCCTCACTGGGTATGTACTTCAGCTCTGACACATATAATTACTAACTTCTCTGTTTCACTCACTTGAAAAATGTGAGGAATGAATGTGTTAACATATATAAATCATTTAGAATAATACCTAACATATTCCAAGGTTAGCTATCATTTTGTTTATTTACTTTGAAATATTCTGCCTCATAGTCAGAATAAGTCTTGAATAACTTCAGAATCAATGATAGAACTACACTAATTAAAGAATATGATCTAGTTTGGTAGGTGCTCAGATTCATATATATAGGACTTTCCACCCCTTTGATCTTAGGTAAATGCATAATTTCTTGCCTTAATGTGTTGATTATTGCATAGTGAAAGTAATAGATTAATTGAAAAGGGATTCATGGCTTAATTAAATCTACCATCATGTTTGCTTGATCTATACAAACTAAGCCATTTAATATAAAGCTAATAGTAAATATGTAAAGTGTACAGTCAGTCCTGGCATCTGCCTTCCAAATTTTATTTTGAATGTCAGAATCTCAGAGGAGTGTCTGTCTTATATGAAATTAATGCACAATAGAATAAAATTCTCCCTCTGGCCTATTCATTGTGTTTCACAGAGTGAATTTTAGAGTACTTTCAAGTTAATCTATCTAAATTATTTCTTGTAGTATGCTGGGTCAGTCCAGCATCCATTCATCCATTCACGCATCTATCCAAACATCCACGCATGCATGTGTGCATGCTGCAGATATTTAGGCATCTTTCACATGCAATGTAAATTTGTGAGATACTGGAAAAGAAATATTAAACAAGATAGACATAGCATTGTGAATGGTGTTCATAGGATGTCAGAGAAGACTGACAATGAGAGAAACAACTACAACAAAGATGATTTGATCTCTAGGAAACATAATTTCCCCAGGTGACCCTCTTTTTCGTCTAACTAATAATAACCATTTCCTTTTTAATCACACTTCTCTTTTAAATAATATTGCATCAAGCACAGAATTACTTGAGTGCTCTTTATGGAACACTTATCAGGGCCACACATAGGTAGTGCTCCCATCGAAGATGTTTCATTTGCAAGAGGGACTGTATGAAATAAAGAGGTAGCATTCTCATGGGGAAAAGAAGCAGAAAGGAAAGCTCACAGGAATGTGCCGCCGCAGGTTTGTTGGTGTGCTGGATGGAGAGGAGCTGGTGCTGAGGGCATTCTCAATGTCCTGATCAAGTTGGTCCAGTTTCATAATTAGCAGCACCATGGAGTCCAGCCGCGCCCTATCTCGATCTTCTCTTATTTCCTGAGGAACAGAACATGTTGTTACTGAATCTGAAAGGCCATTTCTTAGAAAGAATAAAAAGTTCCCTGTTCCTCAGTGTGACAAAAAGGACACTGAATAATAGGCAGCCTTCTACTCAACAGGGAAAGGAAGTTCTATTCTGTATCATCAATGGGCTCTTCATTGGGAAGATACTGACCTACTGCCAAGGAAGCATTTTACTTGAATTTTAAATATACATCTTTTGGAAAAAAGTGCAATGAAAAAGTAAAACATCAGCGAGGACTGATACATATTTACTACTTTTCAGTTCATTATTCTTGGGAAAAGTTATACATTACTTTTTTCATGGTACAAATCAACTATGACATACTAACTGTTTGTGGTTAGACATTTAAGGATCCATACAAGAGAATATTTTTGAAAGAATATTTCTGAGTATAGTAAAAAATTGGGAAAATAATCAAAGAAGGCAGGATTTCAGTTTGTGCAGTGGACAGGTTTTTTTTGTTTTTTTGATTTTTTGTTTTTTGCCTTGTACTCTTTTTTAATTTTTATTGTTATGTTAATCACCATACATTATATCATTAGTTTTTGATGTAGTGTTCCATTATTCATTGTTTGTGTATAACACCCAGTGCTCCATGCAGAACGTGCCCTCTTTAATACCCATCACCAGGCTAACGCATCCTCCCACCTCCCTCCCCTCTAGAACCCTCAGTTTGTTTTTCAGAGTCCATCATCTCTCATGGTTCATCTCCCCCTCCGATTCCCCCCCTTCATTCTTCCCCTCCTGCTATCTTTTTTTTTTTTTTACATATAATGTATTATTTGTTTCAGAGGTACAGATCTGTGATTCAACAGTCTTGCACAATTCATAGCGCTCACCATAGCACATACCCTCCCCAATGTCTATCACCCAGCCACCCCTTGTTTGTTTTTGTTTTGTTTTGTTTTTGCATGGGGCCATTTACCTACTGCTACTTCAGGCTGTATCATTGTCAATATTTCTCTTCAAGCTTCTTTTTCTTTCAAACACTTGAAAAAAGCCCCCACAGTTGTATATATTTTTGTAAATGATCACGGTTACACGTTCTAAATTCTCTATAGTAGAGAGATATGTTTATGGAAATACTGTTGCTTACAGGAATACCTAAAGCTTCTCATTAACCTTATAGAGTTATTTGGCCATGACTACTTACTATTCTTGCATATTCAAATCAAGTCAATTAATATTAGGAATCTTCCAGATTCCCTGTGTGTTGTGTAAGGTATCAAGGTTGGGTAGAGTATTGGGTGGGGGAAAAAAGGCCATGGAAAGCACAGTAAGGTTCTTCAGAAGCAAAATCTGTTGAGAGATATAACAGACTTGGGGCTAGCCCTTTTGAGGAAAATCATTTGTCACTCATGTTGCCATCTTTTCGTCTGTCTTTGATATTTATCTGGATGAAATCAGCTTTGAAAGGAACACTAGTAGAGACCTCAAAGGGAAAATATATCACAACAGAAGCTTGAGGGGTGTGGGTACAAGAGAGCTTGTGATGGTATTGGCAGTGGGATGGTAAGATGACTGCCTGAAACAGACCTTTTGTTTTTGGCATTTTTCTTTTAATCCCCTAAATTCTCTAGCCATCATTAGGAGGGAACCTCAAAGAACAGGGACTTACTAGGGTAATTCCATGGATTAAATAATTCTATAGGGGTCTCTGTATCCATAAGAGCTAGAGCAGATTGTTAATATTACAGAGCATTATTTTCCAGATGTCAAAGAATTGGTTTATTAAATTAAATTGTTCGAAGAATCATTAATTAAGTTTGGGTATTAATTAATACCCAAGTAAGTTATCTGGGTAAGCTGAACTTGTGTTTGGTTTAACAGACTAATGTCAAAATGAAAGAGTTAGTCCTACTTCCAAAAAGACATCAATTTTGAGAATAAACTAAGAATTTTTTTGTTGTGTTAATTACTTCAGAATACTGTGCTGTGATTATTACTTAAATTTCCTTTCATTGTCCCTGCTGTCTAAAACATGTAATGAGACTCTGACACAATTACAGACTCTTGTCATCATAAAGTTTTATGCTTTGTACTTAAGAGTGTCCAGGATATTTGCAAACAGACTTAAACCTTACTATATATCATGTCCCTCAGTGTTACAGAACTTTATTTTATTCAAAAGAGCCTTATTGGGGTACCTGGGTGGCTCAGTTGGTTGAGTGCCCGACTCTTGGTTTCGGCTCATGTCATGATTTTGGGGTCGTCAGATCGAGCCCTGCGGTGGGCTCCATGCTGGGTTTGGAGACTGTGTGAGATTCTCTCTCTCTCTCTCTCCCTCTGAGCCCCCACCCCGACCCTGCTTGTGTGGGCACACACGGTCTCTCTAAAAAAAGCAAAAAACAAAAACAAAAAAACCCAAAAGAGCATTATTTATAGTAAAATCCTGCTTCTACATTAAAATGGAGTCCTGGAAATACTGGAGATTATTCAGTGTAATTCTCTTTTAAATACCCGGAAAATGGAAAATCTGACTAATAGACGACTCAAAGTCCACTTAATTACTTCTCCAATGTATTTGCTCGTATAATTTCCTTCTTTTTTAAACCAAAGTTTGTGTTTGGCAAGACAATGTTCTTTGCATCTCTATATCCACATATGTTTTTTGTGTGATTTTCATTTCCCAATTATAACATCCTCAAGCACAAAAATTATGTTTTTCTACCTGGCAGATGAGTCAAGTTATACATTGCACATGCAATATGTTTTCAGGAATAACAATAATGGAATCAGTGGGAGCCAGTGAAATAACATCTCCCAAAGCCTTAGAAAGTATATCTTGATATTTTTCCAGCTACTAAGTTAATGCTGGATAAAGCAGGATGTCATGAGTTGTCCTAGCCCTACCAGCAGTGGTCTCAGGAACAATTTGTCTTTGAATTAACTGGATGCTGAGATTGTGCTTTAAAAACATTTTCAAATCCATGGGCTGAGCGTCAAATTATTTCAAATGCTCTGCCAAAAGGAATAAAACCAAACATCCCTGGTCTAAATCATTCCTTTAGAGAAATAAGCCTATTGCCTTCCCCTTCCTTCCTGGATACTTCCTTATTCACCACCCATCACACTCAGCCTAAGTGTCAAATACACAGACCAGTATCCTGTGTTATACATCCATAAAACTTCACAAAATAGAGCTGACTATAAATCAGATGTTTTGGATGAATTTTATTGTCTTTGTTTTTAAAGCCCAGATATTAATATCTTACTGTTCTAACCTTTCATATGCTTATGGCTAAATTCCAGCAAATAGCTCATGCCTGAAAACAGAGCTGTATATTTGCAGGTTTTGGATAGGTTGACTTCTATAGTGAACCTTTTACTTCATGCTTTCCCTGTCGTCCATGAAGAAGAACTTCTTAATAAATGAAGCCACCTATTAATGAAGTTTTCGGTATTTCAATAACTTAGCCCACTCAAATCAAGGCCAAGACATTAAATTCTCTCCCCTCCCATCTTTCCTTCCTTCTTTCCTGCAGTCATAGCTGTTATGGGTCAAGCACCATTAAAGGGACAAGATAGTCACCAGTGATAAGAGATTTAAAAAAAAAATCCCAGCTTTCCTGAATATTATAGTCAACCATGAGAAGACAGACAACAGAAGTTAACAAATTAATAAGTAGGATGGTTTCATATAGGAACAAGTATAAGAAGCAAATATATAGGGTAAGAAGCTACACAATCACTGAAGAGGGGTTGTCCCACTTGGCATAGGGTGACTGGAAAAGAGTTTTCTGTGGAAGTGAGGGCTAAATCATGATCAGGAGAAAAAGAATGGGGTAGAAGAGAGAGATGGAGGTGGAGATGGAGAGAGAGAGAAAGAAAGGGAAAAGAAGGAAGGAAGGAAGGAAGGCAGGAAGGCAGGCAGGCAGGCAGGAAGGAAGGAAGGAAGGAAACAAGGAGGGAGGGAGGGAAGGAAAGAGAGGAGAAAGGAAGGAGGAGAACTGGGAAAATAGTATTCCATGCAGAGTGTTGAGTGACACCAAGATACTGAGACAGGAATGAGTTGGATGAGTAAGAGGATTGGATAAAAGATTGGGAACGCCGGGAAGGAGAGTAACAGGGAAAGGAATGAGTGCTAGGACAATGTGAGGGTGAGTATAAACAGGAGCCAAATTATATTGTTATGAAGGTCACTGTAAAGAGGTCAAATTTATTCTTTGTAGTGGGGCCACTGGCAGGATGTCAGCAAATAAGTGATCCTCTACCCCAACTTTTAGGGTTCTTACCACATACTGACAACTAAACATTTTGGAAATATCACCCTACTTTACAGTCAGTGATGCCACATAACTAATACACACTAAATAGCTCAATTTATCTTAAGATTATTTTCTAGTCCTATAGTCTTTTTTTTCCCCCTGAGGTCTGAATTGGACCCACATTATGGTAATTATAAGGAAATAACAAATTTAAGAGCACACTTATTTTGATGAGCAATGAATAATATAAGGAATTTTGAATCACTATATGGTACACCTGAAACTAATATAACACTGTGTGTTAACTACAGTAGATTAAAAAAAACAACAACAATAAATACTTTCATAGCATGGCCATACATATTTTGAGATCAAAGTGAAAGAAGAAGGCACTCTTTGGGGAAGCTGTTTCTTGGAAGTAGGGAGTGGTATGTTGGTAAATGTTTAAAAACTAGATTCCACATAAAAAGAAAGTCCTGATTTGTAGCATGTGTCAATTTTTCTGTGACATAAATACTGCTATGGCCTATTTGCAGCTACCAACGAGACATTACTGAATGCAGAATTGGAAGAGATGCCCCACGTTTTCTCTTGTGAGCTTATGTGAGCTGGTAACCAATAGTTGTAACTATGGTTTAGTCAATGAAATAACATATTGAAATAATGCATTTTATTTATTTAATGCATTTACTTTCCTTAACTTTTGCTTTTGTTGCCCAGGTAGAGTTCAGGCTAAATTTTAGACTTAAATTTAGTGTTTTTCT